GTTGTAGAAGGGTTGAGGTGGAAGAAGTTGCCAGGCGGGGCTGAACAGCTATTTCCTCTTCGCAGACGCCAGCTCATTGGCAGCAAGAGTACTTGAAGGAGTTTGGAGGTTTGGAATTTCCAACAAAAAACCGCATCTTTGAAGAAGCCCGTATTCTCTTTGAAGCCGTTCTCTATTCTTCTTTTGCACTTAATCATTTCAAGTGTGGATCAGCTCATGCATCGGGAACAGCCTGGTTATCCGAAGATTCTGGTCAACACCCCGTCGAAAGGACAAACCACCCGTTCCGGGGCCCACCGGACGCTTCGCGCCACATGCGACTTCGGCCCTTCTTGGCCGAAGACGAGTGAAGAGGATCAAGCGGTTCACCCACGCGACATGACGAGCGCCATGGCGACCTATTTTTGAAGAGACGAGCAATAGAGGTTGACCTCCGAATCCTTCAACCAGTGATGGGAATTGTGGCACCTCTGGACTTGGTGGTCGCATCCCTTTTGAGCAGGTCACTGATAGATCACTGATAGATCTGAGGCTCCAAAAATTGGGACAGGGGCTCAATCGGGGCGCTGAACCCTGGAAAAGCAAGACCATGTTTAAGATGCTTGATCTAGTTTTGTGGCGTCAAGTCCACAAAACCAAGGTTCTTCTTTTCTGAGCTGCCACAAAAAAGAATCATCCTCCTTGAGCCACGAAAAGCTCGGTAGAAAGAAGCTCCAGCACCTCCCAAGCTCGGTAGCTTGGCTGAGAGGATCCGATCATCACTCCCAGGTGGTCTGAAGTTGGGTGGTGGAAGGTGCCCTGTTCTCTGCCGCGACCTGCCGCGACCGAAACCCCGTTGGCGCCGAAGCGACCGCCGTTTTGGGGGTGGGACCTCAAACCCGGTGGTGTGTGGAACCAGCGAGATGCTGGTTGGGAGGAAATAGGTCCTTTTTGTTTGTTTTTATCTATATATTCATCGATTTTCATTCGTTTTTTGGTTTGCTTTTTGTTCTTTCAACGGGCCACTTCTTGTGGCGAGAACACTTCTTTGGTTTTGCACCGACATCGGTGGTGAGGTGCTTCCGTTGGTCTCGACTCAGAGATGACACCAACTCAGCTGAGTTCAACTTTTCAGATCCACCCGAGCTTGCACGATTTGGGTCTTCTCAGCTTCCGTCCTCTCTTCGGCCGCTCCACCGCCAGGCACCCGGCACTCTGGATCGATCGAGACTTCCTCAGGGGCGCTTCGGCCCGGGACGCCCGGAGCAGTACCTGCGACCGTCTGGTGTGGTGCTTTCGGAGGTTTCGGGAGGTTTCTTTGTGGAGAGAAAAGAGGTATAACTCGTTCTCTACGCTGTTAGTTTTGATCACTCTTCTGAGACACCCTTCGGATGCCATTTCTCAAAGAGGCACCCAGTCCATGCCAGACTTGAGGTCCTCACTAGTCAGGAGGTGAGGTGTGATGGGTGTGTTTGGAGAGGTCTAATGAATTTGTGTACATGAGACACTATCCAAGTCCATCCAAGTCTCAAAAAATCATCACCAAGTTCATCCCCGCTTCTTGGAACGTTCGCTCTGGACCTGCTTGGACCGTTCGCTCCCGTCGTGCGTTCAACAGGGGCCCTCGAGACGGCCGGGCCCCGGGCCTTTGGTGGTGGTTGAAACGGTCCACACCGCTCATCCCCTGTAACTGCGGGCTCCTGGCCTTACCACCAGGAGCAAAGGGCATCGCTACTAGGAGCAAGTACGCGACTAGGGGCTCTTGGCCTTACTACTAGGGGGTGGGGTGTCCGTGGCCTGCCTGTGGCGCTGAACCCGCCACCGTCCAACCACGTCGGCACCGTCCAACGACGGCCCTGAAGCACAGGGCCCCTGCGAGACCTTCGGCACGGCGGGCGCGTTGCACGGCGTGGTGCCGGAGCTCTCGGGAGACTTTGTGGTGAAGACCTTTGAGTGGGGCGACCGAACGAGGAGGGATGATGGATGACGCGAACCCGAACGGAACGGATCGCGACGCGAGTTCGGGTTCTTCCATCGCGTATACTTTGTTCGGAGCAAGAAGCTGGTGATGGATAAGAGTGATTTTGAGGAATATGAGTTTGCGGAAGAAAGGTGTTTTTCGGTTTTTCAGGTGATCAGATGAAGGGCTGCAGTAGAGAAGATGAAGGGCCGCCAGGGTCCTGAACACTTTGTCCTGAGGTGCTGGGGCTTCGATTGCCTGGATCCCCCCCAAGGAGGCATGTGGAACCGGCACACGAGAGCGAAGAGCGAAACACGCACAGCGGCGAGCGTTTTTCTAAAGCAGACATGGGACAGCTATGATGCTGTGGAATGCTGTGGAATGCTGTGGCATTTTCCAGGTGGATCTTGAGACAAGTCACTGATCACATCGTCCTGTTTGCTCTTTTCTTCCCAACCGTGTTTTCGGTCGAAAAAAGAAAGCAAACACTCCACTTCCCTCGAACCTCGAGGACACTGGATGGGAGCGACGCCAGGCCGGAGCCTGGCAGGCCGGAGCCACACTCGAAAAACCAACCCGATGACTACTGGAACGCTTGCTGAACGCAACAGCTTCAAGAAAGGGGTTCTCTCGTCAAGGAAACACATTGACATGCCCTGAAATCAAAGTGAATGGCATGGGCTTCGTCACCCTACTTTTCCTTTACAAGCAGGTGGAAACCTCACTCCACGTGACCATGATTCGTGACTCGGAGTCTTTTTGGGTTTATTTTTTGTTCCGCTCCGAACACAAAACCGCTTCAGTTGGTTCTTGGCATTGGTTATTGGGACTTACTTGGCACTCTGAAGAGGCTTGGCAGCAAAAAGGATTGTAAATTTTCACCTAAAACCCCTAGAAGATCTCTTTTTTCGGAAACTGGACCGTTGCGGTCTCAGAAAGCGCGGCCCCGCCACGACTCGACGCCGTTTTGGGCTCAGCTGCGGTTCCAGCCAAAGGAGCCCGGGGTCTTCCCCCCCCCCAGGCAGGGCAGGTGATCTCTATGGATCCACTGCCAAACCTGAGGTCCGGTGTGTGGAGACCTATCTATTGGGTCCAGGCAGTGGATCTATAGGGGATGGCATGTTCATGGCATGTTCCGAGCTTCGAGCTTCGTCCGTTTCGAGGATGAAGCGGTGGTGTGTACCGTGCTTGGGTGACCGCATGGTTGGGTGACCGAATGGTTGGGCCGGTTCCATGAGGTGGGCCTTGGGTGTTTGGGGTTTTCGGAGGGAGACGGGGAGTGTGAATGCTTCGACGGGTGAGTGGTAAGAGTTTCACACGGCCAAGCTGAGTTTGGTGAATTTTGGTTCGCAAGAGCCTATAGCCAAGCTTTTGCCATCCTGGGCTTGGGGTTTCAAATGGAGGCACACTTCTTTCCCTTGGAGATGGATCATTTCTTGGGCTTTGATCTGGCATCTCCCACTTGGGGTCAGTTCGATCAGACTGGACAGGACAGAATCTGTTTCTTCGCTCCGCAAAAGCACAGGGCATCGGCCACAGGCCAAGTACCGTACTGCGGACCCTTCGGAAGGCCGAGCCACTTCTCCGATGTGACCCGTCTCCCGACCCGTTTCGCTTCAACAGAGCCACTTCTTTCGAGAAAGAAGTTCCAAGAGGATCCTCTCGGGGCGATTCAGGGCATAGGACCCTAGGACGCTAGGAGCCTAGGAGCTTTGTTGCCGCAATCTCATTCCACCTTCGGGCTGAGGGCTGTGGCACAACTGATATTTCTTTCGAGCGGTTGAAGAGATGGTGAATGTGTAGGCTTGCACATGCCAAGCAAATGAATGCACATACTAATTATGATGCATTCCAGCCGGCCCCCATCGTGCTTTCATTTCCAACAATGACAAGATGGCATTGAGAGCAAAAGCGCCTCTACCCTACCTACTCCCTAGGCTTCCAACCACGATTCATTTAGTAGGCTTTACCAAATCAACGGAAAGGATTTGACACGTCCCAAACACCAGGTCGTTCCCGTTTGAATGGTTCCCGAAGTCTGGGGGACTGGTCTTGAAAGCACATGAGTCAGGATGGTTGAGCCGGATGATCCTCTTGTGGTCAATGTCGTGGGTCGGCACAAGGCTTGGGGATTACACGGGAGAGAAGCTCGGAGGTGCTGACAACCAGAGAAGAAGTCACAATCCCTGGAATCATGATGGAAGTGGATGGCATGGCCCCTTGGATGATGATTTTCCTCTACAAGCAGGTGGTGAACTCCACTTCCATGATGATTCCAGGAGTGTAGGACTTGGAACTTTCAGAGAAGCTGCCTTGAGTAGAGAAAGTCCCACCGTCGCGCTGCGTCGCGCTGCATCGACGTCGACATTCCTTTCCAACTGCAACTTGACTTGTTGAAGAAGACTTTTCAGGAGATGAATCACGCCACCACAAAAGGTAGGCTGGAGCCAACCTGTCAACACAATCTCACTGAGTGTCAGCACTTTAGCCAACAGACCAGAGATATGGTATCTCCCCCCCAAGGTCCTCCCAAAGGACAAATGGAGCCAAACCCTCTTGGAAGAACTGAACAAGCGGGGAGAAAAGAAACCTCCGGGCTCAGAGGAACTCAGAGAGGGGAGGGACTCGGGGAAGGGAAGTTGCCATTTTTGCAGAGTGTTTTCTGGTCATTCACCCTCCACGAGGAGCGCGAGAATCAGGATCTCCAGGGCGAGTACCACATGTGCCCTGGGCTTTCGACTGCCAGACTGCTGCTTGTATTTTCCTGCTTCCCTTTCTGACTCTCTTCGCGCGTTTCGTCATCATCCATTTAAAGACGTGTGGTTTCATGAGCTCTTTTGAGCTCTTTTTGCACGTTCTACCTTGGTCATTCGATCCCACGAACTGAACTTCAACTGCATGTTTCGTGGTCCCCAACATAGAGAATGGATGGGACGGTTTCCACGTGGGGATTTACTCCCACGTTCGGAGTTCCCCCCATGCCTCACGTCTTCAGTCCCCTTTGGCTCCCCCTTTTTGGGGGTTCGCCATGCAGCACTCTTCTGAGTCTCCGAGGATCGGCATGGTGCACGGCCGACCCGCCTACCGGAAGCCCGGCACCAGGACCGGCGCGTCGCGAAAAACGTTTTCGGCCGCACTCGTTGGTCTGGTCGGTGGGAAGCTGGTGAGGCCCTGGGGGAGGCCCTGGGGGAGCCGTCTCGCTTTTGGGAGCAGACTTCGGATGGATGGGCGCAGGCTGCCTTCTTCAGAATTCGGATGGACCGGAGCACCCGGGCGTGAGTTCGTTTCAATTCACGGCTTGGGAGACATTGGTTCGGAGCCTCCATCGACCAGATTTGGCCTGGAAAGGTCGGAGCCTCCATCTTCACCCTTCTCCACCTCCACCGGGCTTGGTCCGGAGCTCGGTCCGCGCCGAGCCCTCCGCGAGGACCGTGATCCGGTACTGGCCCGTGGCCGATCGCTGGCTCATCGACCGAGAAGGTGTGCAGGAGCGGTTCCGCGTGGGGGTCGGGCCACTCGTCCGCCGTGCTGTGGGGTTTTGGGGGTCGAAGGTGCTCATCTCAAAGGGTCAAGTCAGTCATTGCCACCGTGTAGCTGCAGTAAACAGCTGTCAGCAAAGTGGCGCTCATCGACTGTTGACTTCAATTTTTGGTGCTGGTATGTGAAACTGAACCCAATGAGCGAATAGTGTCAGGAGCAGTCACTGACACCACTTCTTTGCGTTGCTTTGTCGAAGTGCCTTTGACTGTGCTCTCTAGTTCACCCTCACCTTAGCCCAGCAGTCACCCCTTCTTCACCCCTTCTTCACTCACCCGCCAGGAGTCCGACGTCTGCAATGCCTACGCGGAGCAGGGCGGCGCCCGACACCCCGCGGTCGAGGAGCTTGTGTGGCTTGGGTCTTCCAACTTGGTGGGCGTTGTGTGGGTCATCCGTGGGATGAGAATGAAGGAGAATGAGACAATTTGGGTCTTAGGTATTCGAGGTGAGTTAGACTTAGGCATTTGAGAGTCCCCACCTACTCGTACCAAGAAACCGTGAAAAGCATTCGTTGAACTCCATTTGTTGAACTCCGGGTCGCCAGCCCGGTCGCATTGGTTTGGGGCAAACGGTCGGAAAAGCTGATGGGCTCTGCTCTGAGGTGGCGGGTTTGGGAGTCTCAGCATCGACAGCACGTGCGAGACCCAGAGCTGCTTGGCGAAGGATGGGCTTGGATTTGCACGAAGCTCCACGTGCATTTACAACCTGCCAGAATTACATGGCAGTGGGTCTTGAAACAAGGTTCTTTTTTTTTTTGGTTTTCCCCACCGAATATGAACAGAATAGACTACCAGACATGGTCAACCTACCAGGGTGAGTTCCGGGCTCCAGGTGGGGTGCACCATGGCCATCAGTTGCAGGTCTCCCGTTTGACCTGTGGCCGTCTAAGAACTGTGGAGCTTCAGGAGATCAAACAGCAAGTCCAACCTCTTCGCACACAACTCGATGAATCACCCAACCTGTTCCAGAACACATGTCCTCTTGAAAGCAACTTCGTCCGCTTTCAACACCACCTTTTCTTGTGTTTTTCTTCCTTTTTGTGTGTTTGCTGGTCACCAGTGCCAGTCCATCTCAGCCGGTTTTTCAGGTTCCTGGTCACCGCGGCACCGGGCACCATTCAAGTCTTGGGACGCGCCAGTGGCAAAGAGAACTGGGCGCTGAATGGAGAGCCACTGGGACGCGCCCGACCGTCTGGAGCGAGTTTTTTCCACCGACTTCACAGGTCAATTGAAACCTGTCTTCGGGCCCTTCCCAACCCTCTGGAGACCTGTTGGAAGGTACTGGTTTATGCTACTACTAGTAAGTTCAATAATTCAGTCAGTCGAGATGCCATCCAAGATGCCTGGAATTGGGGTGGATGGTTCTTGGGGGTCTTTTTGGAATCAATGGATGTAGAATTATGTGGACTTTTAGATCATGTCTGAGAAGTAGGGGTTGGGATCTGGGATGATGTGCTTTAGAGACCTTCTTGGAGGCCGGAGAAGTGGGTTCGGAAAGAACACACAAACTTGGAGCTTTGACCCATCCAGCAGCTTCTCTTTTTTCTGGATATCAATTCCAGGATTCTGGTTGGACGGTTGGCAAATCATGGGAGCACTATTTCCCACCAGCTTCGCGTCGAGTTGATGGACCCTTTCTCAGCCCAACGACTTTGCTGAAGGTACAAGCTCATCGGCCTGCACCAGGGGAAAGTGGCATATCAGAAGGCTGGCAAGTTCAAGCAGCTTGGACAGCAAAGGGCAGGCGCAAGCTTTCAGGGCTTTCTCAAAAAGCGCAGGGCTGGGTTGGGCAAGCAAGACATCTCCAGTTCCTGCATCAGGTTTAAAAATTGGCAGCCTAGAACCTGCAGTAGGTTCTTGAATCCCAGCCCTCTGATCTCTGTGGTCTTGTGGTCTTGTGCACCCGTGCGATACTTCGATTCCACACCTATCTTGGATTGCTGGTGGTTTTGGGAGCTCTCCGAATCGCCGACTTTGTGGGAGCGGAAGATGTGGAATCAACATTCCTCATACCTCAAGTCACAGCAGATTCTTCTTGTATCTAGAAGGAATGTCAACCTACCATGGGAGGAGCTGCCACTCACCAACGATGTTTGCTGGGCCGCTGGCAAACATGTGAGCTGAGGCATGCCATCCGCCGCTTGGAAAAGAAGAGTGAGAGGTTTTTGGTCAGTGATGAAATCCAAGACTGCCTGGGAGAGAGATGGATGGCAACAGATGTTGTTCAAGAGCGACAGATTGTCCCCTAACTACATGGATGCTTTGATGAGCTCTCATCCAGTTTTCAGGATGGCCAGATGGTGGACTCGCAAGTTGATACAGAACCCATTGGCTTCAACATATTACTGCAACCCACACCATGAGTTTCAGTCTTTCTTTGTGCATCCCGCCTCTCATCTTTGCACCCGCCTTCCGCTTCCGAGGGTATTGGAGAGTGGGCGACAGGCGGCACGGTAAACTGTCTGGGTTTGGCGTCCGTGAGAGCTGGCCGCATGGGTCGATCTGGGTGGCAGGCCCCTTTGTAGTACAAAAGACATCAAAAGACAGGCTACTTTCTTTGAAAGCTCCGTTCGTAGCGTCCGAACGCTCCTAGTAGTAAGGCCAGGAGCCCCGAACGTAGCTTCTTGTTACTAGTAGCGATGCCCGAAATGCTCCGTTCGCTGCGTCTTTGTAGCACAAGTAGCTTCTGGGAGCGCACAAGCTCAGAACTTTCTTTTTGGGGCTCAGAACCAACGCTTCAAAGACTGGTGCCAACCAGCGATGGCCTCCAACCTTCCGTCATTACCTTTTTCACCCCCATCGAAGCGAAGCGTCGAGCGACCAGCGCGGCAGCCGACGGCAGCCTGACTCGAGCGAGACGGGCGCGGCAGTGACGGCAGGTGGCTGATAGACCTTGAGGGCCTGCGCGACGTTGACATTTGCAACGCTTACGCAGACGCGCAAGGTACCAGCTACCCAGGCGGAAGGGGGCGGGATTGGGCTTGGTGAGAATGAGAAGGGGGTTGAGGGGAGAATTGTGGTTGATCTCATGTGGATGTGCATTCTGCTTGCAAAAGCGGTCTTCTACTGTTAGTCTCTTCAAGGAAGTGCTGCTTCCAAGAATCTGCATGGAGGGGGTCGTGCTCATCATGAAAATGGACATTGGCACCTGAAATGGAACGTTGATCTTCTGTAGCAAACACATGCAAACACGAGCCCCCGCGTCATCCCACGTCACCCGAGTCCTTCTTCACCTGGAAGACACATTCTTTTTGAGATGTTTTTTCCGAGCAAATCGGATCGTTTTCATTGACCATCTGAGTATACCTATGCATATAGGTATACCTATAGGTCAATCCAAGGTGAGGTGGTGCACCGCCTTCTAACCGCCAGGCGAGATTCGACTTTCTTGGCACATCTGGGATTCCACGAGGCAAGGCTCGTTGGATCCAGGGCTTTTGGGCCGAGGCAAAGGCTTTTGGGCAAAGCGCGTCCTGCATACGGCTGATGAACCAAATCTACGACCCTGGAAGTCAAAGTGGGAGTCTGATTCCATTGGCAAAGTTAGTTTCCCTCGAGTCTTCGATGGGTGCTGTATTTTTACATGCACTGTAGATCTTGCGGCCATCGATTTCGCCGATCGTCGGGAGCGATTCGGGCCTCTTCAGAGGCAGCGGCATGTCCTCGATAGCAGTCTTTGCACGCTGGTGACACCCTCGTGCATTGAGGTAGTAGGCTGGACTGGCCGATGGCGGGGCGGAATAGGGAGGGAGTGCTGTTCGAAGCCGAGTAGTTGCAAGGAGCCGAGTAGGACGCGAGCAGTTACCCACTTTCGTCTGAAAGTACGTGGGTATTGGGAATTAGGACCAGTTGTGGGGACATGGTAAAACTTGCTAATTCAGTGCGTTTGGTGCTAGACAGCGGGGTTTGGGCGAGATTCCTAGACCTGGCCTGGCGAGAGGACGAGGCTGCTTTTGGCTTGCGGTGTGCCTTGTGGCCGTCGTTCACCGCCACAATCTTGGGCCTTTAGTGCACGTTGCAACGTGAAGAAGCAGACACCACTGTGGAGAAGATGAGAGGATGAGAGCACGGCGGAAGAAGCTGTTCTTGCCATGTTTGGCCCTACGAAGATGCCGTATCATGCAAAACAACTTCTGAATCCACGCAGTCGGTGGGTCCGCAATTCCAGGCTTTTCTCATTCTTTTCTCTTTTCGTGCCACCTTCGTCACTTAGTCACTAAGAATCTTCCAAGCAGGCTCCATCCCGATCGGCCTGAGAACCGAAGTGAGGCGGTCGTCACTCCGAATTCCCAACGTTGGATTCACCTTCCTGCTTCAGCCTGCTTCAGCCTGCTGAAACGCCCTGTCTTGTCCGAGATGGGTCTTTCCTACGACCACGAAATCGTGGCCGGCTTCGCTGGTCGCTGGTCTTGTTTGAGAAAGGGAGTGAAGGAAGGCCAAACCGTCCATGCGTGTCTGAGGTCATGGCACCTGGAGCTCTAAACCGCAGGTTGACCGTGGGTTTTTCTATTCATTTTCGGTCAACCAGTGTCCTGTCCGGACCGTGCCCTGTGGACAGTGACATATGTCGAAGTTTTGAGGTACTGTCCGGGTCCAGTGACATGAAGCCGTTTGAGTCATTTCAGGCCATGTTTTCTGGATGCAAACTTGCTTGCAGTGAGAGGTATGTTACGGTATGTTTGCTTTCTTGCTTCTTGCCCACAGATCGGGCCTGCTTGCTTCAGAATGCTCAGATGCTTGCTTCATCGGGCCTGCTGGGCGCTCAAAGCCGTTCCACTGTCCAACGGTGCCAAGCGTTGGAATGGTTGTGCACTCTTTTGCCCTTTCAGCCATGGGGGTCATTCAATCCACCCAAGGTCGTAATTGGTCGTTTTTGGATGTGACTCTCGTCAGAGCCCCGGGTTCTTTCTTCGCAAGCGAATCCCGCGAGTCGCCCACAGGCCGCGAGTCTCCCAAAGAGAACATGGCCATGCCGCTTGGAGGGTGCTGTGGAGTGTGGGGGTCGCCGGTCGGTATTTCGTCTAGGGAGCGAACGCAGATTCGGAATCTATCGGATTTCTGGAGTTCCACGAATAGGTTGAGCAAAATGGGTTTTCACTTGTCGTAGTTCTAGACGTAGTGCAGGTCGGCGTGACCAGGTGGCTCAAAAGAAGACTTACACTCCCAAATCCATCGAAGCGAGCGAGATCGGAGACCCGACAGCCTTTGATGGAGGACGCATGGATCATCATGGACAATATATATCTGTCTATCCAAATATCAATCTCCCAACCACCAGCGGGTTTCATTACCTTCAAACACATGTTCTATTTTTCAAGGACCCCTTCAACCTGGTCATTCACGGTGACCCTGGGTTCGAGAACATCTGGATGACTGAGGAATGGGAGCTACCACTTGGCTGCTCGGCAGAACTTGTACCAAAAGCAGCACATTCCTGGAAGATAGCAGTAGACACGGCAACTTTTAAAATTATGAACTCAGCACGAACCAAGAGCTTCAAGATGCTAAGCAAGAACTAAGCTGGAAAGACCACAGACCTTAACATCACCCACACTTGAACAAAAACCTCCCCTGGAACTCTTGCTTTTCTTGCAAGGTGGGCCTGCATGCTGGTCAGCCAGCGTACATGAAGGCGCACTTTTTTGCAGCTGGTTTCGATTTGAGCAGATGGCAAAATTCGACACTCTTCGACCCAAAGCCTCAGGTTCGACCCCGCCTTTTGTTGGACCAAACGAACTCACGACATGACCACCCCGAAGTCCACCACCGTGCCGGCCGGCTCAGAGCCCACACGCGGAGCCCATGCGGCACAAAAACCTCTCAGGCGGACGGCAGTGGACATGCGATCCGCTATTGGCCGCGGGAGGAGCGATGGCTCATCGATTTGGATGGACTGCCACTTGGGATGTTGATTTCGATGAGGACCACCCAGCATGTTTGGGGGGACAGGAAGGTGGTTTTTTGGGAGGATGCAGGAGAGCACTGACATCCAGGATCCAGGCGTCTTTTTGACACAGATGTGATTGAGTCATTTTTGAAGTTGGGTGCTTGTTTGCCTGTATGGGCTCCAACCTTTAGTAGTGATGGCCTCCAACCTACGACCCGCGATGGACGACGACCTCACTCACTCCGCGAGCCAAAGGCGAGACACCGAGATCTGCAACGCCTACGCGGAAGCGGGTGGCTCCTTGGACCGACCGGTCGGGTCGGGCGTTGGCGGCCGAGACGTTCAAGGGGTTTCGTTGCCGGCGTTCCTTCTGGTTCTTCCGGGTTTGGTTTTCCGAGGCCAAGAAGCTTCGAGTTCCTTTTTGGCACATAGGACGCTAAGGATGATGGCTAAGGGATGCCGCGAAGCGGTGAAGGAACCCTTCAAGGAACGCACATTGAGACACTTTATAACGGAGCTACTCCTTGGGCTCATACCTTCGGAGCAGAGCTAGACAGAGGAGGTCTTCTTATGGAACTGCATTAAGCCACTTCGAATCCTTTGGAGACTTGAGTGGTTCTTGGAAGTCTAGTCTGATGACCTCAATCTGGGAGCTTCAAACTTCTGATTTTATTGTAGAGCTTCATAGACCGGGGTTGGGCGCGTGTTCGCTATCGTGTTCATTTGTTTCTTTTTTCGGCTGTCCGTTGCCTTTGTATTTCTTGCTTGGTTATTATGGTGGTTGTTCCTTTCGCATGCGTCACGCGCCCCCCCGAGACCTTGTATCAAACACGTTTGAGGCGCACGCGTGCGCATGCGCAAAAAGAGACCAGACAAAATCCCTCAGGCTGGTGGTGGAGAGGCCAGATGGAAAACACGGTAAATGTCTATGTTTTTTGCTGCTCGAGGCTTCCACAGTGCACCAAAGCCACGCTATTTACGTAGTTGGTGCTTTTACGCCAGGAAGCCACGTAAATACCAATGGTTTTGAGCTATCGAGTGCTCAAAGCCACGGTATTTACGAGGTTTTCTCGAAAAGCGCTATATATTTCAGCACTTCGCGCCCCACACCCCAAAAAACGTTGATAATTATGCAGTTTTTGCAACGCTGGTTTTCTAGATCGAAATTTGTGAAAGCACTGTAATTTACAGTGTTTTGCGTCGCAAGCCGAAAAAAGGCTTCAACATTGTCCCTGTAAGGCCCAATCTAGCTCCTCACCAGATCCAAACTTTTTTGTTCAATTTGCCTGCTTTTTTAACACTATTTTCGATCACCCTAGATCCACCAACAAGGCCTCTCCTCCACCAGGCTCAAGGATTTTGCTACAATTCGCGTTTTGCCGTTTTTGGAATCGCTCCAGGGGCAAGAACGGCTCGAAATGCAGGCGAGAGTGCAATTTTTTAGCTCGACTTCACAAAAGGCACACTAGGGGGGGTCCCGGCATCGGGAACACCCCCCCGTAGCTAAAGCTAAAGGCGATAAGGCGATAAGCTACACCATACGGCCCCGACGGGGACCTCCAATCCTTTCCCGCTCGGGGACCACTTCGGACTGGGTGCCCGATGAGCGGATCAAGGCACCGGAGCTCACATGCATCCAGGACACTTGAACCTTGCCCCTCGGAAGGCATTAATGTTGCCTTGAAGCCGGCCAGTTCAGAGAGTTGGTGGTACTTGGTTTCTGGAAGGACTTGGACGTAGCTGAAGTGGTGGGAGGACTGGACATGAGTTGTTTGATCGCACTAGATCATTATAGGTGTGGATGATGGGAGTGAGCATGCAGGGAAATCCGTGACAAAATGCTTGAACTTGTTGTTCCAACCATCACTGTGTTTGCAAGGATGACGACGCGGATCAAAGGCAAGGCAACCCCATTTTGTTTGAGACTGTTGGTTTCAAGAACAGCTGAAGACTTTGTAGACGGAAGTTCTTGCAAACCGCTCTTGATCTCACACCATCCAGAATTCGTTGCTTCTTTCCCATCCCAAGACAGACCGATCCATTCGCCCATCGGCCTCACCTCCAATCCCAGAACCCATCCAGACCGGCGCAGCTCTCGAGGTTTGGCATGTTTGGGAGACCAGCCGTGGTCGACATCTCACGGACCCCGCGGTGCGCTCGCTCCTCGGCGGTGCGCCCTGATCGCCTGATCGGTCGCATCCTTGCGACCTGGGTTGGCCGACCTGGGCGGAACCTGGTGGCAAGCGTTGCAAGTGGATGCATTCTTGGAAAGATGCAGGCCGCCCAAAGGTTCCGATACCAAGGGGGCACCGCATGATACGGTGATGCTACTACTAGCAGCATCAAACCAAACCATCCTGTCTCAGCCAAGGCCGAATGTTTAAGGTTTGCCGAGTGTTTTACCTAATTGCACGAAGCTCAAGTCCTTTCCTGTTCCTAGTAGGTTGGAGCCATTGCTCTTAGGTTGGAGGCCATCGCTAGTAGGTTGGGGGCCGTCGCTAGTAGCTAGAAGCTGACGTGATTGATGCACCACACATGCGGATCACTTCTTCAGGTCTGACTGCCCCATATCTGAGGTTTGTGGCGCCGCACTACGTGAGGATATCTGGCAGAGATCCCTATAAGGAGAACTCCACCATCAACGGCTTTCCAGCTGAACCTAGTTTGGGTTTGGGTGTTCAGTTCTCTGTCATCCTTGTGACCAAACCTCCCTATATAATCCAATATATCTTCCTATATCTCCTTGTGTCAAATGTTTGATGACCGCGACTCAGCCAATTCGTGGTCAATGACCTTCTTCTTTCATGTTTTTCATGAAGCTCGCGGTCCTTCTCTTCAACTCAGGCGAGTATGAGCTTGTGAAAATTGTGGAGGGGAAACCTGCGTACAAGAAGGCCTTGCTTGCGATGATGCCCGTGGGGCACAAGTGGTGGAGAAAGAATCAATCATGTGTGGAAGAAAAGCGTAGATATACATTTGGATGAAGGATTTTGACTTGTAGCAAAAGCCTTTCCAAGTCTTTGGGTCGAGTGTCCCTATCAAAAAACTTCTTTCTTTCGGTTTTCTATCGAACATTCTCCATCAGAGACCGGTTTTCCGCCTATTAGGGCGGCGCTGGAACCCACGGAACCCACTCTGAGGCGGAAAGCGAGCACGTGATTCGCTTCTGGCCTGCAGAGGAACGGTGGATCATTGATTTGGAGGCTGGTGCCTTGGCACCGTGGTCGCCCCGCGAGCCGGAGCGGGGTTGGAACCCGGTGGGGGGGGTGCGAGATCAAGCGGCGTTGGATGGGCGAACCGAGCTGGGTGGAAAAGAAGCAAAACGCTGTTCTCCTTGCAATCAGTTTAGCAAAGAGGATAGGAAGGACACGATTTCTGGAGATGTCTTATCTCCATTGTTGAAACGGGAAAATCTTTACAAACATCCTGGCCGAAATCAGCAGAGCACTTCCCTTCCGCCTGGTGACCAATCAGTCTTACAAGAACTGCATATTGATCCAACTTGTTCTTCTTCTGACTGGACTCCATGCCAAGCTCCCATCTACATCCCCAATAGCGATAGCTTGGGCTTGTACACCTCTTGACGGCTGGGCGCCGTCGGATCCAGGGCCCGGCCCAGCCGCGGTGGTGTTTAGGTGGTCTTGGGGTGATGTTTTGGTGGTGTCTGGGTGGTGTCGGCGGCGGCGTGCTCATGTAATGTGCCGGCGATGCTTTTGTGATGCTTTTTTTTGGGCGATGTTTTTGTGCTGCTTTTGGTGGCAAATCGGTTCTGTTTTTCACGGTGCTTCGCTGACATTTGGGTGGTGTCTCGATTCTCGGTCTCAGTCTTTGCACGAGCTGTGAGCTGTGTGCTTGCATGTCCATGCGCCTGGTGCACATTGCCCGCGGGCGCTTCATTCAAACATGTTTCTTCTCTGGTGCCAGAACTTACTTTATGGTCTCTCTGACAACTGCATTCGTTGTACCTTTCGTGTATGAGTTATACGTTCGTCTGTAACTGCACTCTCTATCTGGTTTAGTGATAATATTAGATAATATCTTGTTGTCCTCTGTGTAGCTTTTATTCCTCACATTCCTTGTGCGAACCGAACTTGCACGCATGTGTGAGACATGTTCTTACCGTGTAGAAATAGAAACGGTTCTTCAGACCTTTACACCATGAACAAAAACTTGAGCACTTGAACATACAATTCAGCCATCGGCGAACACTCCTTAAGTCCTTCGTGGTCTATGGAACATACTAACTTGGACGTTGAATTATTTGCGTAGTATTGTGTGTACAAACTATTGGATTGCATTTCGTTTGTTTTGTGTGTTTAAAGAATGGTCCTCGAAATTCGATGAAAGAACAACGCAACGAACAACGCACGCAGAAAAAAGGGTGCTAAATCTTGGTGGATGCTTTCCTATTGGGGTTGTCAGCTGGGTTATTTTTGTCCAACGTGTCCGAACAGTTTTCTGTGACAAGCAGCTTGCCTCGAATAGATGCAATGCGATTTCGCCTCGAACAGTCCAGATATCTCACCTTGCGAAAACATCTTTTCACCATGAGAAAACTGCTTCACACTTCACCCACGAGCCCTGGCAGGGCAAAGTCCACACAAAAAAAAGCAAGAAAAATGCATAGTCGCTGAGAGTCTGGAAGTTTGGAGGCTTAAGATGGCTTAGTCAGGGTTTTAAGTTTTAAACCAATAGAGGAATCAGTGGATTTGTGGGGGGGGGCCCATTTCCTCCAAGCACCTCACTTCCTGATGCCGCTCGCGTTTGGACTCGACTCGCGTTTAGACTCGACACCGATCGACGGTGATCCGAAGCACCGAGGCTTCCACGGGGGGGGACGTGGCCAATTCCTTCGCGGACGCTAAAGGCGCCACCGATCAGCGGCGCGCCGGTCGGCGATGGCTTCGGCACGTCGCCGGTGGCTTCGAAAATTCCCGGAGGTGTTTTTGGCGCGCAAGTGTACATCGAAGGAAGGACATACAAGACAACAACGCAATGCAGTAGCACTCTTTTCATCAGTCCGAATCACTTGAGCACAGTGGATCAATTCCTACGCCTGGAAGAATGGGACTTGCTCCTTTATTCCTCCCCCTGGTCACGAGAACCCTCCGAACCGCCCCGGAGTTGTTGGAGAACTTAACGCCCTCAGGTGCCGAGAACCCCGGGAACAGCGAGCTGCGCCTTGAAGGGATGCACCGAGGAGTAGCCTGCGGAACCGGCGGATGTTTGGGTGGAGAGGAAAGGACGGATCCTTTTTTGGTTGGACCATGGAGCAATCATGATGGATTGTGAGTGTTCGATGTAGGAATCCTTGAGCTCTTTTGATTTGGGGATCCCAACACCAGGTGGGGTCCAGCAATCTCCTTGCGAAGCCAAAACAAGCCCCACTGGGAAGATGATTGTGGTGCTACGAGACTCCAAGGCAGACCATGGATCTTTGATGAGCTTCTTGAGAGAAAACACCATGGAGAACAAGTGCAGTCACCAACATGGGCCCACTCTTTGCGAGCTTTTTGCCACCGCATCGGGATGGCCGATTCGAAGCTCGTGACTCTCTTCCTCACGATACACCTCGAAGATTGAGTGACGAGGTGCTGTGAGGTCCAAACCCCAAGCGACCGGACCGGGGATGACTGTCATTGTCACGAATTCTCTGCTGGTAGATTGAGGGTCTTACAGTTCACCAACTTGACACAACCCACAGCCATATCAGCCGGGTGTGCAACGACAAGTCTTCCATACAAACAATCGACCAAGAACGATGAGGCTGTGGTGCGTAACAGACGGCCCCTGTGCACATTTCTTCTCAAAGAAGCACGATCCAATTTTCATTTTCATCTACTTTCATTTTCATGCCCATCATCTTCATCTTCCATCTATATATACTTCCTCTTCACAGCTTCTTTCTGAGTTCTTCCCTGCTTCCTCGCTTCCTCGAACGCCAAGCCTTCCAGGCCTCTTCGGTATTTCAAGCCCTAAAAAACCTCTGCAGAGGTAGAAAAACGATCATGTTTGAGGGGGATTCATCTATCAATTGAGAGTCTAAGCAAGAGATCGATGGACTTCCGCGACCCATCCTGGGAAGACACCCTTTCGGCCCTGCCTCACTCTCACTCCGAGGCTGTGGTATGTGTGGGAGACCAGCCGTGGGCGTCATGTGCCCGATGAGGATGTCATTGCGGATGCCGTCTGGTTGCCGCAGGCGAACTTCAGAAACCCAATACTGAAGACCGGCTCCTGTCAATGTAGTGTTCTTTTGCTGCGTGTGGCGCATTGGATGCCATTTTGAGGCTTTTCTTTGAAAGATATCGAACTGACCAACGACCAGTAGTAAGTGATACTATCCAACGACCGTCGACCGCGCCTTTGGAAACGCCGCCCGTCGACCGTGGCCCGTTTACGCCGCCGGTCGCACCGCGCTGGTTCGCCGCTTTCGATGCGACGCAAGGACGACGTCGATCGACGGGCACAGGTGGACTGGTCGAGTGTGCCTGGATTGGACTAGGCAGGAGGGCTCCGGGGGGTCAAGCAGACCAGAAAAAGGTCGAAGCCATGATGACTCTTCTAGAGAGGGCCTTTTTGAGGCCCAAGCGGAAAATCCTCTGTTACGGGGAGCTCGGGATCTTCCTCTAAGCTATGCAACTGGTGGGTGTCCCCACTGGTGGACACCCGGGATATGGAACTGGATTGGGGGTGAGTACAGTAGATTGGATGAAGATTTCACCTGGCGGACTGGTTTTGGGTCCAAGTTTGGATTGGCCCCGACATGGAACATCCCTGGATCAACACGTAGATGTAGGCGTCGGTGTGCCAAACGAGTCTGACAAACGAGCCAGATCTTTCGTTCCCGACCCGAAGAAGAAGGGGTGTTCCACGAATTCTTGTGCTTTCAGAGATTTTGGGCTAGGATCCACTCGGAATCCACTGGAACCATTGAACCATTGGATCCCAATCAGGCATCATTTATACTCCCCTGCAGAGGCCCACATGGAATCCCAAAACCACTGGGTTGTAGAGAAAAAAGTCTTCCACGGGTCAATTCTCAGGTTCTATGTTAGTTTGCGCAGGAGTAAACCTGTGAAAATCCTTCCCATGTTTCTGATGAGTCGCCTTCGATCCACAAATGCCGGTCCGAATTTGCCCCTTAGAGCCCAGGCTCTGAGGTCCCTTTTTGGGGGGGGCGACGTCTGGGTTCAGAGCGACGGACCCAGGCTGTGTGCACAATTCGTGGATGTTGCAGAGAGTGCAAAGAAGGGGTGTGGCTCAAAACAAGGATGTAGATCTGCAGCTCTTGCAAGCTTTGAAAGAAAGGAAGCTTCTATGTATCAAAGAAGTTTTGCCACAAAAGTGAAGGAGAGAGAGAGAGGATCGCAATTTCTACCATTGAGTACTCTTGCGTCAACCTGCAGTTTGAGCCATCTCCAAATTACGCATCGCGAGCTGGGTCTGTGATTGTGGCGCCAACCCATGATAGGCAAATGCATGCAAATACTGAAGATCACTACTGCCGCATGCCGAAGGAACTCTGCAAAAAGTGGCCTTTGGGCGGAAGCAGGAAGCAGGAAGGCAGTAAAGATTTAACACCAAACTAAAAAAAGAGTAAGATGAGTAAGTTGAACTCCAGCCAGTGTTTTGTACTTGCAGGACATTTTCCTCTTTCCATTGCCCAAATCGCTGGAAGCTGTAGGGGGTTCTCACTTCTCTCAGAACCAGGCCCTGATTGCAACCTTTTGTTTGGATCTGCCTCTCGATCCTGTCACAAATCACAATACATTGTTGGTATATCCCTTCTGCATCTGGGGCCCAGTAGGCAGTTCGACCAAGCAAAGGCAGAACAGTATGTGAGTTTTCTGAAGCATCCCAAGTCCTGAGGTCTTACGCCGGTGTGAGATTTCTTCTCATCTCCAAACTACTAGCGATGGCATCCAACCTACTGGCGATGGCCTCCAACCTGCTAGCAATGGCCCTAATAGCAATGGGTTTCTTCTTATAGTTCATGACTTGATTAGAAATGTTCGGTGACCCACAACACTGCGATGCTGTCCACCAGATCAGCACGAACCTCGCGCCAAGCGCTGTGTGCCCAAAAGCGCTGTGTGCGCAGAATTTGGGGGATCTGCGAGGGGGGGAGACGAGCATGTGGTCTTTTTTGGGGTGTTTGCCGTGTTGGGGACCGTGTGCGTGGGGTTCAATGGCCCGGGCCGGACAGAAGGATCGAATACGATCGAGCAACCGCAGGTCTTTTGGCTTTCATGCTAGCTGTCGCCTGAAGCTTCAGTATTTAAACAAAACGCCGTTTGAACGCCTTCACTGCACTTTGATCCAACTTCTTTTGTTTGGGGAGTGCGGCTCAAGCAGGAATGAACGGGTTCCGCAAACAAACGAGTTCCGAGTTCTGTGATGAACCCACCGGTGAGAACGGGTCAAAGAGGACGTCCTTTGTCTCGTTTCAACCAGAGACGACCTCACGGCCAGACCCGAGGTTCGCACGGTGTTCGAGGTCGGTCTTAGCACGACCTCACCGGACCAAGAACCGGTGATGTTTCCACTCCAAGAACTCATGGTGTCCATCGATACTCACTGCATGTTCCGCCCGGCAAACGAGCTCCGGAGCTAGCTGGGATTGGTTGAACTTCTAAGGTACTCATAGGCATCTCTTGGATCTGGGAAGGAAGAAAGGACGAGAGACGCACAATGAACGGTCTGAAGGTCTCTAAAGGTCCCAAGACAAAGCAAGCAAATGACAGACAAGAAACCCAAACAAGCAAGCAAACAGAAAAAGACAGACACACAGAGAAACAGAGAGATAACTAAACCTTGCGAAGAAAGGTTCATCCCCACATCCACCAGGCCTGCCGAAGCTATCAACATCTCCTGAGGGGCGCGTGAGGCAGGCTCACCACGAATCCCCGATAGGCAGATGGGCTTCCATTCGAGATTCTATCTCTTGCCACTCATCCGACGCCAACTCTCTAAAGATTGACCAGCAAAGCACCCAACGGTCCACCCCTCTGCGTCTTTTGTTCGACGCACCGCCCGCGCCGCCGAAGTCGGAGCGACGCGACCCGGGCGAGTTGAAGGTCCGGAGTTGGAACAGTCCCCGCGAACAGGTCCTAGGTCCAAGGTGCAAAAACTCATACACCTCAACCAATGGTCCTTATACAGAAAGACTTGGACCTTTCTCTCCTTTCAAGATGTTATGCTGTTAGGTAGTTTTCCTGGGGTAACTTGGTGTTCCCCATCTGAGCGGGACTCTTTCACTGTCCTGCTCAGATTGAACACAGTTGACCGGCAAAGTGAAAGTGAACGGCACATCGACCGGTGAATCTCTTGCCCAGAGGATGGCGAGCCATTGACTCTTTCCGAAAGTGAATTCCTCGCTCGGTGGGTTGACCAATCCATGTTGTTTCACCTGTTAGCGCATTTGCCCCGGTGATCGGCTACGCGGCTAGGTGGTGGACAGTTGAGCACCATGGACTGGGCTCATGTTCTGGTACTTCGTTATGCCCTTGAGGCGATTGATTGATGACTTCCAGTGCATTCCAGAACGTGTTCGAACAGTGGAAGACTTTTCAAGCTTGCTTCCATCCAGTGAGGGCAGCAGCACGGAGAGCTATCAGGCTTGATTCATGTTTCAATTCGATGAAGACTTCATCATCCACCACCCCTCAGCGCAGCAGACTTGGTGGCTCCATGAATGGTCCACCCCGACTGGGTGGACCGACGTGAAATTCGTTTTGATGTAAAGGTTGCTTTACTGCGGACGGTGTTGGTGGGCAGCGACATCATTTCCGAACATCCTTGTTCAACAGCTGTTTTGGTGAGATGGGAGTGAGAGGGGAAGCCCTCTCTGTTGTCTTGGCAAGCTGAGTATGCTTTGAGGATGACTAGGTTGGAGGCCATCGCTCTTAGGTTGGAGGCCATCGCTACTAATCTACTTTTCAGGTCCCTTGGTCACTTCCCATCAATGCCAGGGCGCCCCAACTCTGCACAGCAGATCATGTGGATCGGCTCTGTGGAGCACCACTCTGCTATCCTTGTGGCGCCGAAAAGGGGAGCACCGTGCGAACCGGACATGGAAGAGCGAGCTGCGTTGAGAGTTTCACCGAACGCGGTGTAACGGCCAGGTCAGGTCGGTTGTCCCAATCGAGTTCTGTGGTTTTGCAACCATCAAAGGGTTCTAGTTCTGACAACTCTCATCGGCCTAAAATTCATTCGAAGGCTTTTCGGAATCTGCAGTTCCTGAGAGCGCCTGAGCGAAGGGTTCTTACACCGGCATAGACTCACATAGCGGGTGTTTAGGCTTGTCATCCCTCGCATGACATGATGTCATCCCTGGACCAGCACCAGCATCAGCATGCCACCCGCAAAGCGAAACGCCGATCCAGAGCCCACACCTGCACCTGCACCAGCATCAGCGCGGCAGGAGCACCCGCAACACCAAAGTGCCGATCCAGAGCCACACCATTGCCGTAGCTATCTGGAGAAAAAGGGGGCAAAAATATGCGCATTACGTATCATCACCCACATATATCCAGATATGCGCATCTTCACATTTGCACATATCCAGACATCTTCACAGTTGCACATCTCTCTCTCTCTCTCTCTCTCTCTCTTCCTTCTCGCTCTCCTTCTCTTTTCATTAATATGGCCCCACAAAGCGCAACCCCTTCGCACGAAGTGCGTGTCAAGGGTCAAATTCTGCGGGAACGTACCTGTTGTCGAAAAACGAAGGCTCATGCCTGCCAGGTACGCCTCAGTGGAAATTGCGCAAAGTCCATACGCATTGCTGTAAAATACGGTGCAGACTTAAACACCAACAGAACTTGTATGCATGTCTTTCAACTCTCCTGGGCCATTTCGTCAGCACCGACTGGAAGACATCTTTCAAGATCAATCGAGGAGGACCGACCATGGAGAATTCTGTCTGGCGGAGTGAAGGTCTTTTGCAGCGCAAAAAGAACTTCCGAACAATTGGGGGAGTATCTGAGGTATTTCTTGGGGGTGCCCAGTCGGATTGCGAAAGCTTTCAAAACTCTATATCACACAGAATTCAGCATGACTAGTTGAGTCGGCCGCTTTGATTGCCATGGCGATTGGCAAGGAGCGGCATTCAGCTGGGATCGTTTTGTGTTCCGCATTTGGCACCAAGCTCAATGCAAGTTGATGGACTCTTTGCTTTGGCTTTGGTGATTTGGTCTTCGTGCCACATGAAGGAGTGAGTTGGGTGCCGAAGTTGGCTGTGTTAAGCAATCCGAGGAAACAGTTGGTTCCTGGAGATCAGTTGGT